CCAGACAATTCAGCTGGTTTTAGCAGTTCCTGCATTTTATTTAGCTCATGATGCTACTTTCACCATGCATGACAATTGGACAGGTATTCAATCTTTATCTGGTTTCATCATAACACCTTTTTTTCCCCAGCAGACATCTGTTTGGTCCATGTGAACAGCAGCAGAATTCAGTCCATTTGAAGGAGAAGTTTTTGGGGCCAAGGCTTGCTTCATCCCATTCAATGGAGATGTAAAGCTGGCAGAACCGCTGGTGTTTCAGTAGCTTCCAGTTCATGACAGGTTTCATGTTTGGTGGCTTCTGGATTGTTCCAAAATATTTTAGGAGTCCTTTTCTTCTAAGGATGCATGTTTGCTGTTCTTTAAATCTTTGATAAACCGATGGATGATACTGGAAAGACTAGTTGTTTGTCAATGACTTCAAATAATCCAGAAATAAATCCAGAATAGATTTACTCTTGTGCATCTCGATCATGTTTTTAAAGAGTATATAATTAATAAAAAAATATAATAACTTAACTTTATTGATCTCACATTGGAGAAATTTATCTCTGCCTTTAAGCCATCCCCTTGGGGAGCAGTGGGCTGCCATTGTCCAGCACCCGGGGAACAGTGTGGGGTTAAGGATCTTGTTCAGAGACCCAGGGCCGGATTTATCAAGATCCAATTTTGTGTGCAGTAATTTACGCTCGCAAACTGGAATTCTGCGCGAGGGGCTGAACCATGGTTTGCGGGTGATTTAACAAGAGCGATTGCGTAACTGGTGGCAGGTGCAAAACTGTTGGAGACGCCCTATTTAAATGATGGTTTTGCGCGTTTTGTGGTTTGCGGCAAAGTAGTTTGTAGTCTGTACAAACTAGTGCATTAAGAAATTTAAATCTTACAGTGACCCCCAACAAAAAAAAAAATATAAATAAATATATATATATATATATATATATATATATATATATATATATATATATATATATATATATAAATTGGCAACCTTTATTCCCTAAGGTGGTATGTGCTGCAGTAAAAAAAACAAAAAAAAAAAACAGGTGTTTTGTATTGGCCTGTGACTGTGGATGAGATCCCCGCAGCATTTGGCACGTTGCTCCACAGGCGCAGGGGGAGAACCCCGACCCCGTCGGACAGCACTTCTGAAAAACGAGATATGGAGATCCCAGCTCTCGCTGCAACCGTACGCTGGAATGACCCAGATGCAAAAAAGTGCAATGTTGCAAGGAGTTTTGTGATATCTGGTATTGCGTGGGTCCTCCTTGTGGCTGGCTCCAAATCCATTCGGAGTTCCGCCAACAGCTCCAAAATGGCAATGCTGGATAAACGATATGTTTTGATGATCGTTTCCTCGTTCATTCCAAAAATATTCACACGGAGTGAAAAAATGCGTTCTCTGCGTCTCCTTGCTTCATTTCCATGTCTCCTTCTTGCCACAATAACCGCTGCCATGTGTGCGCAATTACGCATACAGACCATTTGCACTTTCTTTTGAAACGTGTTAAATATAGAGTCAGATACCGTCAGCAAAATTGCGTTCAGGTTTGATAAATCACTTTGCGAGTGCTAAATTAATATATTTACATGTTCTCCTCCCACAAGACGCACTTTTGCGTGTAAATGCCCCATATTGCATATTCATTGCAGAAAAAGTACTAAATGGATAAGAGGCGCTATTTAGCACGTTTTAAAGACCAAATCCTTTTAGCACGCTGTTGATAGATCAGTTTGTACATTTTTTAGCGTGCGCAGTGAAATAGCTCACGTTTTTATACACGCAAACCTTTGATAGATCCGGCCCCCAGAGTGGAGGCTGTGGGTATCAAACCGGGTACGTGCAACCTTCTCAGAGCACTACTCTAACCCACTAGGCCAAAACTCTCCCTAGTGAACACCAATTGTTGTGCTTTATGTTGCATCGGTTAAAGTCGTTGAATGTCATTTGGATGACCTCGGTTTGAATCCCAGTTGCATCTGGTGAAAAAACATTCTCAAAGCAGTGAGCATGTTGTAATCATTCGCTGTGTTGACCCGTGAACATGGGAGCAGTTGAAAGGACAAAAAACTGAAAGCTGAAAGAGCATGAAAGAGAATGTCAGCAGCTGCAATGGACCATGTGATGAAGGTTAATGGGACATCCATTCTGGAGATCTGCACCAAGGCTTTGGAAAGGCTGTAAAGGCCCCATCTCAAGCAGCAACAGGTGATCCCTACAGGTAGAACAGAAGCTTCCGGTCAATGGAGGAAATCTAAATATCTGAAAATAATTAAATTATTGAGTCTGGTTTACTTCATTGCTTATTTTCCATCTACAATAAATCCACATTAAATCCACAATAAACAGCAGATTCCCATGAACTGATATTCTGCTCCTAGTTGCACTTTTGGGTTTATTGATTTTATTCTTGTTTGTTGGATAGATATATGCACTGGTTCCTGTTGACGCAGATTTTAGGTTGAAATGTGTTCCTCCACCACGTGGCGCCGAAGGTTCTGTGAGATCTTACCTCCTTAAAGGCAGTAATAGAATCTATTTGGCCAAATCCAGGTCTGGAACGGAGGCAGACTGCTGGGTTTGTTCTGACTTCCTGGGAGGGTTGTTTAATGTCGGATCAAGGTCACCGATGAGGAATGGTGAGTTGTGGGCGAGGTCACCGCAGGGTGAGCACCATCTGACTGACTGACTGCAGAGGAAACAGCAGCCCCGCTCAACCGCCTCTCATAACTCAGGGCTGAAATCCAACTTCGATCTGACGCCACTGATCTCATTTCCTCCAATGTGAATGTTCAGACTGTTGGTCCAGAAAGCTCCACTTGACCTTCCAGTTTTCCCTTTTCATGCCAGTTTCCTTCCCCGATGACCCCCATGTTTTCTGAGTTTAAGGAATCCTGTTATTCCAACCTGAATGTTCCTGTCAGCCATGAGGCGGAGCCTCTGATCCTGCTCCAGGGCCAACATGCTGATCCGGGTGATGATTGTGACCTTCCTCACTTTGACATGTTGCCTCCAGATTCCAGATGAGAGAAATAAAACCATAAAGTGATGAAGGAGCTCAAACATTACATCAGCCCTTCAGAAAACCACTGGATTGCTCATAAGCTTCTTATCTGCTTTCTGGGTTCATTTTGTTGGTTAAACTGGGGCTTAAAGGTAAATTGACAGAGATTTTCAATAACTGATGGAGCTGAGGGTTGATCAGACAGACTGAAGTCCATTGCAGGGCAATACATTGGCACACACACACCAAAAGGAAATTTAGAGACAACCATAAACTTAACAGTCATGTTGTGTACATGTGTCGGGAAGCCAGAGTACCCCAAGAAAACCACACATGCAAAGAGACTCTATAAGCCGGGAATTGGACCGTCTTGTGATGCAAGGCAACAGTGTTACAAACCATACCACCATTAGATTTCTAATGTATAGCATTTATCTGTCATACAATTTAGACTTCGACAGTTTTTTTTGTCATTTTGTATCACAAGTGTAAGCTCTCTAGACATTTTCATTTTTTAAAGTGCAGCCTTGGTAAGGTAAGCAGCAGTGATTAAAAAACATTGTGATGAAAAACAGTAATGTAAACATATGATTGTATATTTACAGTTCATTGAACATTCGGAGTTTCTTTTATTTTAATTTCTGAATATGAATAAAATATTGATATATGAGATTTGAAATGAATTTTTTTTCTATCACATCTTGTCACAGAGAGGATTGTGGGCTTCCATAAATGTTTTTTTTCTGGGTCGATGAGGAACCTCCCTAGTTCCCTAATCTACAGGAGTCATAGAGGCTCATCTTCCTACCTCCTTCCTAACTGCTAACACTTCCTAGATTGCAATTGCCAAGGCAACCATTGACTCAAATCAGCTATCCCTAAATAGTCTTTAACTGCTAGATTTTTGGTTTAAAGAAAAAAAATCCTTGAACCTGGCTAAAAAATAAATGTATGTCATTTTGTAAATTATGAAGGAAACATAGAAGTAAAAATGAATGAGGTAGATGTGTAACAACTAAATTAAATTAAATTCTTAAATGTTATTTTTGAGTAAAAGATCTGCTGGAAGTCATATCAAACACATCCAAAAAAAAATTATAGAAGCATACCAATTCTTATTAAAGCCGGATTTATTGAACTTTAAAGGATTATACATTCATTAAAGTTCACTGATTTTACCATACCTGAGCTGTTGTGTTAGTGTTTGAGGTAACACCTGCAGAACATCACTCAAACGATATGCACGCTGCAGGAAAGAGCCATCAGGATAAAACATCAGGCTGACTATCATTTTGAGAAAGAGACAGGGTAAAATGACAGATGCATACTGAATTGTAAAATTTTACATGCTCAGGCAAGCATGAAGCATGTGCATTTTTAATAAATGATGCGAAAGTAGGGAACAAACCACCACCGCTCCCAACAACCTCAATAAGTTGCTACACTGAAACTGATTTTGCAGTTTCTATCTCAGTCAGTTGAATAACGTGCTGTCCATAGCTGTATATTGGTTATTTATTCTCCAGGTGCACAGTTTTATACTGTTCAAACAATGTGAAGCAATTTACAGTATTTTATTTGTTTGTTTTTTGTTTTTGTTTTTACTCTGTGTTGAATTAAACGTATGCCTAAACAAGAGACTTTACAGGAGAAGGCTCAGAATGGTTTCTTAAAAAAATATGAGATGGAAGAAGGGTGATGAACATCTATGGGTGATAATAATAGTTTGTTGCAGCCCTATTTTTATTTGCATATTAGTTCATAATTGTTGCACACTGGGTGTTCCATATGGACTCCATAATAAATAGTCCTGTAGTCTAATTGGGCCATCAAATGTGCAATAACATTGTACAGGAAGATTCATTATCATCAACAGTGTATTCTATATATTCTATATCATAAATACTAATTGCATGATGCATCACATCCTCTGGTCACATTGTGCATTTTGTGCTGTTATCAAACCATGCGGACCTTTTATTCGTTCCGTGGTGTTGTGAGTCGGACAGTATTCCCTGCCGGACAGATTCCGTTGACATTGCTGGGGCAGGTGTTACCCAAGCAGAAGGTGTGATCGCAGGTAGCCGCAGATAAGTGGCTGGCCGCTCCTCCTCGGCTCTTTCTTCGGGACCCGCTGCAGTCATGTACCGGCGGCCGCTGCAGGTGGCCGCGAGGTGCGCCGTCAAAGCTGCTGCGTCCAGAGGCGCCTGTGCGAAGGTAAGAGCTAACAGTTAGCCTGCTGCTAAGCTAGGAAACAGCTCAGAAATCCACATGATGGAATAATATCTGCATAGTTTGGATTGGTTCTGATGTAATAAACAGCTAAACACAGGCTTCCTGTTTAACTGCCTAACAGGTTAAACTGCTGACAGATTAAATGTTTAATCTGCTTCACTGAATCAGGTTATAGACTAATTAACAAAATTAGAGCTTCTGGTTATTTTAGAGGTAATTTGTCTTTTAGATTTATTGGTTAGATCATAAGATAGGAAACTATTAATTACATTTTATGAATTTTATATTTGTAGATATAATACTTTGTTGCCATGTTTGACTTATTTTTTGTTGTGGGTTTTTTTGTTTGTTTTTTAATTGGCCCAAATCCTAATTTCTATGTTCAGAAAGTAACTAAAACTAATTAACTGAGTAGCTGAATGTGTAATTAGGCTCATCATTGCATCATATACTGTCTGTCTGCTCCTGTTGGATATATTCGGAGTTTCAGGGATTAAAAGAGGAGAAAAAAATTTGTACTGATTGAAGTTTAGGTCGAAGTTATATTGAGGTCTAAGTTCTGGTTTCTGCCAATGCGAAGTTATATTTAAATGTCAACTCATTCTGGCTTAAACATGTATATAAATGTACTCTTTATCAGACCATATTGGCCCAAAAGTTAGGAAATTTCTATAAAAAAAAACAAAACTTAAAATCTGTTTTATTTCTTCGTTATCTTCTACAGGCCAGTTAGTTAGACGTCAGCCTGAACACCTAAATTCAGCCAATCATATATCAACGGTCATCTGTCAATCAAATATTTTTGGTCATAGCATCTTGATTCATATGTCGCAGCTAATATGGTAAAAATGGTAAATGGTATGTACTTATATAGCGCCTTTATTCAAGTTAGGAGACTTGACCAAAGCGCTTTACACTACATTCATTCACCCATTCACACACACTCACGGTGGCAAGCTACATTGTAGCCACAGCTGCCCTGGGGCTCACTGACAGAAGCGAGGCTGCCGTACACTGGCACCACCGGGCCCTCTGACCACCATCAGTAGACAATGCAGGTGAAGTGTCTTGCCCAAGGACACAACGACACCGAGAGTCGGAGTCGGGGCTTGAACCGTCAACCCTTCGATTTCAGGGCAAACTCCTACATCCAACGCCACTGTCGCCCCAATATACACAACGGTTGAAATAAGAATATTTTTTTTCCCCATTGAGTTCCGTCCCAGTGTCTGTGTCTTAGCAGGCGTAGAGCTAACAGAACTGGCAGCGTTGCGAGGCAAGGGCTCAAACATGTACGGCTGGAAGCCTTCTACACCAAACCAAGCTTCTGCCGCCCTGGCGTCCTCTTCCACAACATCTTCATCCCCGCTTTCCTCCTTTAAATAAAAAATGGATGACGGAGGAGACTCATCCACGACCTCCGACACTAAACTCTCCTCCTCTTGCATGTTTCCTCTGTCCATAGCGTTCCTTAACTGTGTCGTTTCTAAGTCACCAATTTAGTGCTACTTGGTTCCAATGTGATTTCCCATTGGGAAACTACTAGCACTAAGTTGCTAACTGGTTACCAAGATGCTTCAGAGAAACCAACCACAACCAAAAAGCTTGCAAACCTTCCGCCACAACAATCCAGCCCCCTTTATAATCGACCAATCACATTCAGAGATGAAGATATCTCTCCTTCTCCTAAAATCTTTAGTGTTTCCTGACTGGATGGGTTCTTTCCTGCCATCATTTAATGATGCTAGGATCCAGTAGAACCTCCTGGTTTACAGATTTGTTGGTTTATTTTCCCGCCTGTATGTTTCTCTGTCATGTGAAAAGCCCAGCTGGTTTAATTCAGCTGATTTAAGGCAGTAAAATTAGACGGTAAGATGTTCCTGGGGACATTGAACAAAGAAAAACCTTTAAGGTTTCTAAAAATCCAAGATTGTTTTTTTTTTTTTCTTAGTTCATCATTTATTAAATATTAAATGCAGATTTTTACGTTTGATGGAAATCTATATTTGTTGAGAAGTTCCTTAGAAATGATCAAATCAAAGCTTCAATCTGTAACCATCCGGTTTCTGTTCTTCCTCCCAGCTGCTGGAGCAGGAATGGTGTCTGATATCTCCAGCTGCCTGCCGGCGGACGCCGTCCAGCTGTTGGACTCAGTGTCGATCTTTGCACATTAGCACACAGGTAACCCTTTTGGCATTATAACCTGCCATCTTTTCAGGTAGAAGCTTCCATCTGCTGTTTCCCTTACCTCAAAGTCCAACATCCTCAGTCACCGCCCCGCTCCTGTCCGCCCCGCAGTGCTCCAGACCGTCTGTGTTAGGTTAAAAAATGTAGGTTTTTAAAAGAGAAATTGAGTCTACACAGGAAAGAGATTCAAGCAACTTCTGCAGGAGTGGAAAGAAAAAGCCCAACCCAACTTCAAGCTTTCTTTTTCCGAATCCCCTCCTGCAGCCGTCTTTTATTAACAGAACATCACACATGGTTACAAAACAGTATTTGTTCTGACAGAACAATTGATCAGTTCATAAAGACAGGATGCTCCACCAGAATGACAAGGCAGGATGGTCTCCTGACTGAATCACAAGACACAGTGGAGCATCCCTTGCACAAATGTTTCATAAGCATACATTAATTTTATAATAATCATTGAATAAACCTAACAGTCTGCGCAAAGCAAAGCCTACAGCCTTCACTGTTCCTCCCGTCCTGCTCCTCTCTGACTTCCTCTGAGCTCGAGGAGTGCATGCGCTATATTATTATTAAATTCATATGACCAAAACATGCAGAAATAAAAGCTTAATTTAATATGAAGCATAAAAAATACCCATCGCCTCAAGCATAAGTGCAGTTTCTGCCCAAATATGTTATTTTAGTTGTAGATTTTTATACCAGATAACTAGGATCATTCAAAACTTTTTTTTTATGAACTTTGTTCTCTACTTTTAAACTCAGCATCTCTTCATCCATTCTTGCAATAGAAGTTTCTTTTAATTAGATTTGATGAAACTTTTAAGCCCCTCGGTATAAAATACATTTTTTGATGGAGATGAGAAATCTGCTCCCTGGTTTGTTGAGGAACCAGTAGTTTGCATCACTCCTTTAAATAAACGGTGTAATTTTTTAATATATAAGAATTATTCTCCAATTTGTAGTTACCGATCCGTCGTTACTAGGGGTGTAAATCACTTCGATTCAGTATCGATTTCCTGAATCAATGATTCGATTATTTCCGATACTCAAGAATACACCACCTTTTTCCACCTGGATCTCCGCTCTTTTTGGCCCTCATGTCCCTCCGTTGTCGGACTAAACTCACTCCCACTTCCTCTCCGCCTTGGCCGTATCTAGACCCACAGACCACGCTTCAATATTGAGCATAAATCAAAAATGTCTGTGTCAAGCTCACTGCAACACACTGCTGTAAGAGTATAACCAGGAATCGAGGTAGGACGGCAAAATAGGTTTAGCGCCACCGCAGCACGGGAGGGAGAATTACACCCAGAAGCTAATGGATAAAAATAGACCGGAGGTTTTGTATCGATGCATCGATCCAAAACGATTATTATTTACACCCCTAGTCGTTACTGTATTTTAATTTGACAAACCAGATCTCCTCGCTGTTCTTTTTCCTGTTTGGTGCGATGCATTTGCGGTTATTGACCTGGCCGGACCGGAGCAGAGCAAAAAATAACGGCTCCTTATTTTGATGGTGACGGAAGGAGAAGATGTACATGAACGGAGACATGTGGAGGAGTAGCGGTGGATGTGGAACGGTTCTCGTCGAGCCCTCCATATGACATGCGTGAGCAGGGCAGAGCGCTGACGGAGGATGTGGAATCTGGGGGTTAGAACAGCTGCAGGTTTACCTGAACCCCAGTGAGAGGAGGAGTCTAACCTGCTGCTCCAGGTTTTACTCTGATTCCTCAAAAACTCCAACTAGAAACATACAGAAAATGGAAACTAAGAGGAAAACCAAGCTCATTTTGAAGGCAATGGTTTGATCATCTTAGCCTCCAAAGAAAAGTTTTATGAAGTCAATTAAAATTACGATGATTAATAATTTTATTTGCATAGGAACAGAAAAGTAAAACATGTAAAAAAAACTTTTTTTATCCATTTATTTTTATAATCTGCAGACTGGATCTTTCAGGACCCCTTTACTTAACCTCTATGTTTAATCTTCCAGCTGATCGGCCCAAACATTTTTGAAAATAAAATCTTACAGCTTCTATGCTGGTGGATAAAAAAAAACCACAGGAATACTTTGGGATGTAATCAAATTATTCCCAGTTTCTTTGATGAAATGCTTCAGTTTCCTTTAGGTTTATTTAAACCGTTTGATAAGAGCATCGTTGAACTAATCAGCTGTTCTCCTGCAGCTCCGTAGCGTGAAGGAGACGCCTCAGCACTCACAGGAAGAGGTCGGAGCCTTCACCAAACTCATAGAGGCCATGGGCTTCACCGCGCCGCTCAAATATAACAAATGGGTGAGTGGGGATGAACGGGGGGGTTTGGTAGAAATCTAACAGGGAAAGAAAAATTGGTTAAAAGAAAGATGACAGAAGCCATTTGAGTTTTTAACCCAGAGATGGTTTTATGTCCTGATCCCTTTGGTCCAAATGTGTCTTTAAACTGAAACTACACAAACTTTTTTTTAGTGTTTCTTTAACATGTAATAAGTTGCTGATTCTCTCTTTTTGTTTTAACAGAAAATCAAGATCGCTGCGCTGCGGATGTACACGTGTTGTGTGGAGAGAATAAACTATGATGAGTTCTTTGATAGTAAGTCCAGAACTTAAACTTTAAAACTTGCGTCTTCACTTCAACAAGTGACCCTTAGATGTTTTGGATTAGAAGCTCCTTCCAGCAGAACCCAGTGTGTGAAAGTTGACCTTCTGCAGCTTCTTGCATGCATTCAAAGGTGTTCCTCAGGGATCAGTTCTGGTTCCACTTTTATTTATTTGTTTATATGAACCATTTTAATCAAATTTTATCAGATGCCTGTTTCATTTTTATGCAAATGATGCTGTGATGTATTCTGTTCTGCTTGAAATATCCTTCACTGCTGCTCAGACGACTTTGTAAGAATTTATAAAAACAAACAAAATTTATTTTTCTTTTCCAAAAACAAACAAAAGCAAAAAATGTCCTCCTTTTTAACTCTGCTGGTTCAGATTTTTAGTCTAAATTCAAAATAGGAATTTTATTGTTATTCTCTTTCAAGCCTTGAATCAAACAGTTGGTTAGAAAACTAGAGTGAAAACTTCTGTCTTTTTCTGCACTTTCTTTGCCTTTGATAAAAGAGCCGTGGTTTATATCACTGCATCTTCTCTTGACCAGGTTGTCATGTTCTGGTCCTGATTCTTCACTTGTTTCAGGGGAAAATCAGGACATGTCTAATGCTCACCTATAAAGGCCATTCCTCTTTCATATTCAACAGTTCTTAAATAGTTCTAGAGCTCCATATATGGGCTTATAAAAGCTGGTTCACTAAACTTTAGTGCAGAGGTCACGGATTAGTGGGCCAGGGTCTGGATCCAGACCCACCTGCTGGCTAATCTGGGCGCAACCTGATTTAAAATTTTATAAATTACTGCATGTTGTCCAATGACAGTGTCTAACTTCACTTGCACTGCTTCTCTGTTATATATATATATATATATTATATATTATCCTGTAATATAGTTAAGCCCTCCGAGGCTAACGGCACCAGGCTACACATGATCCAAATTAGCCAATGAGCTGCTGTCAGTCTGGGCTGCTGCTGTGAGAAAAAGAGAGCAGAGAAAGTGTGAACTGCTGGAAGAAATGTGGTGAACTGGTGAAAGAAAAGTGAAATGGTGCTCAAAGATGAACCTGCACATTTAGAGGATGTTTGGCTCAACCTGCTGCTGTGAAGCAGGATTCTCCACCATGAACAGAATCAACAATAAATCTGGATCCAGGCTCAAAATGAGCTCCTTGATATGTGCTTTAGAATGGCTTAGTCTCCATTCAAACCAGGTTTAAAGCCTTGCAGGGCAGCATAAAGCCCACTGCCAACATTAAGACAGAAAAAAGAGAGAAAAAAAAAGTCAAAGTGTTTTATATAAACCTTTTTTTTATGTGTTTTTATTTAAAAAAATAATTGAATAACATGGATTCATAAGAGCCTCATTTTATTTTAGGGTTAAATTCTGTTCAAAGTAACAGATTATAATAAAAAATGTCTCTGGATCTTTACTGGTTGATGATTTTCTTCATTTGGACCCTGCTGATTTTTAATTGATCACCCCTGCTTCTGTGTTTTCTGGGACTTTGTTTCTCCTCGCTGTGATGAGCTGCTCTGTTTTGATGATGAACTAATGATGTTCTGTCTGTTTCAGAATGCTCGCTACCCGACACCCTGAACTCCTGGTTCCTGGTGGCTCAGCTGCACGTTTGGTGAGTCCAACATGTTTCTCCTTCATCACCTCCTGAGATCAGCTCAGGTCTGCTTCAGGAGCTTTAGTTAAGCTCCACTTTAACAGCAGAATGAAGATGATCTTAAAGGAATCTGTGAAGGACTTTGGTCGGGTTTCTTTGAGGAGGTTCCTCAGTTCTCTGCTGAAGGATTTCATATTAGCAGGTCTGATCTCTGAAAGCTCTAAACCAGGTTCTTTATCTCAGGAACTGCTGCTGCAGACTTACAGCACAGAGAAACAGGCATCGGTTATGGTACCAATAGCTGCTGCTCCTGCAGTCCATCCCTTATAAACATGCATTTGCTGATAGTAGGGCTGAAACAATTAATAGGATTAATCATTTATTAAAATAAGCATCAACTAATTTATTAATCAATTGTTAACCGGAGTGTAGAAAACGTGCCATTAGCTGACAGAGCAACCCACCTTCAGCAGCAATTATACCAAAATTGTAAAAAAAAATTGTATTTAAGATAAAAACTTTTTCTTCTGTCAATCTGCTCTATCCAGAATTCCTCAAGTGGAAAGGTTTTAGTTTCACCTGGTTTGATTTAATAAAAAGTCTTTGTTAAGGAACCTTTTGCTATCTGATTATAAACTGATTTATCGAAAAACTTCTTGAATGATTAATCAGTTTGCAAAAAAAAGTAAGTTGCTGCCCTAATTAGTAGCATATCCTCTGGATGAGTGGTTGATCATGGAGGGCCCGGTTCTGATGGTGCCCTGCTGGGGAATCTATGCTATTTAAATTGATCCACTGACAGGAAGATATTTTCACACCTAGAAGGAGACGATAGGATGGAATAGAGGTTAATATCGGTTCAGGGACAAGTGGTGTTCTGGGTTAGTTCTAAGGCTGAACAAAACTCAAAATTGCATTTAATTTTAACCAATATTTGCGATTTTTATCTAAATTTTCCTTTGCAATAACCAAAAGCTTGTAAATGTTTCAGTCCAAACTTTCCATTTTTTAAGCTTGCTTGTCCTGAGTCCATTATTGCAAGACTTTACTGTAACCTTTGTGTGAAAAAGTTATGACTTCTACTTGCATGCATGGATCTGCTGCAACTATATCTACATTTCTATGTGACGACAAACACCCTACAAGCATTTTACTGCAACCTGAATGGCTGGAGTTAGAAATTTAGTGTCTTACTGTGTTTAAATGTAGTGTTAATAAATTGGGTGCCTCTATAATTTGAAAGTTGTGTTTAAATTGTGATTATATTGCAAACGCAATTAATTGCCCAGCCAGAGGGAGGGAGGGAAGCATTCCAAGTCAAGTTTTTCCACCTCTGAGATGTTTTTATATTAGGTTTCTCTTTGAGACAAAACTGTATTCCTTTAGCAGCTGTAGATTCAGCTTCTGATAATAAAGAATAACTTTGAGTTGAATTTCTGACTGAATGTTTGATGCTCTTCATTTTCACACAAGCAGCCTGAAAAAGATGATTGGACCAAGCTGGTTTCCTCTAACATTGGGTCTCACGGTTGGTTGTTCTCCTCCTGGCAGGATGTGCTTGGTGCGGATGCGTCAGGAGGGCAGAGAGGGGAAGTTCATGTGCCGTTACATCGTCCACTCCATGTGGGAGGACGTGGAGCAGAGGAGCAAAATAATGGGGGTGAGTCGAGTCCAGACTTTGCAGCAATCCCTCATACCGAGCATGCAGCGACAGTGGAGAGGAAAACTCTTCTTTAACAGGAAGAAATCGTAAACAGAATAGGTCCGAGCAAACATAGATAGATAGATTAAAAAAAGAAAAATCTGAAATGTAGAAAGCAGAAATTTGTAATAAAACAATTGACAAATAACGGATATGATATAATGATTTACATGGAAGTGCTCTAATATTGCTGAGCTGAAATCTGCTGTTTAAACTCCTTTATAGTTTAGTAAGTTGATGGCCTCAAGCAGGCAGATCAGAGACATAGAAGGGACTCTGATGCGCTGATCTAGGGATACCATCTATGTGAGTTAGAGGCTAAAGGTATAGTTCAGGTTTAAGGTGGGAAACGTTCATCATCTGTTGCTGAGAAGCAGCAGTGTCCCCCCCGTCACCGAGCCTCCTGCTCTGAGAAACGTAACAGATCTGGGAAAAAATATTCAGGTAAGATTTCAACTCAGAAAAAACAATGTATGTGTTTAGTTAAATTATTTCAACAACTTTTAGACATCCTGATACTAAGACAGACCTGGATATTAATACAGGGTTCCCGCGGGTCCTTAAAAAGTCTTAAAAGGCATTGAATTCTTCAGAATTAAACTAAGGCCTTAATTGGTATTAAAATGTTTTAAATCAGTCTTTCGTAAGTCTTAATTTTAAAAACATGATAAATAGGATTATTTTTATTACGATTTTATTTTTGTGATCTAAATGAAACGTTAAAATTGACAAATTTTTTTTTTACTTAAAAAAATAACGGCTCGCCATTATTGGTTCCGTCCCGATAGTGGAACCAATAAAAGCGTTGTCGCGGCCGGGACATTTGGGAGATGCACCATTTACTCTTTGTCTGGAAAATATGAGCAAGTGTAAATGTAACCAAAATTGTCTCCAGCCAAGAGTTTTCTCCATGGCTAAAACCAGGGAACATACATGAGGCTCAGTGGATTTATGCAAGAAGTCATTCAAGCTCAGAACGATGGGAATTAAGGCAGTGGAGTCACACACAGCTGATGTTTCTCTCCATAATGGCGTCACAGCGAAACAGGAACAGACGAGGCATTGATAAAATATATCTGTCATTTGTGTGTTTTTAGCTTTCTTCCTGTATGGGAAGCTTTTCAAAATCTGAAACCTTAGTGCAGTGGTTTATGTTAAAATAAACCTTTGGGTTAAGTTGTTGCAAGCAGGTTTTTCTTGTGTTTCTTGTGGCAGGGTTCCCGCGGGTCCTTAAAAAGTCTTAAAAGGCATTGAATTCTTCAAAATAAAATTAAGGCTTTAATTGGTATTAAAATGTCTTAAATCAGTCTTAATTTAGGTAGGTCTTAATTTTTAACACATCATAAATAGGATTACATTTTTATTACAATTTATTTTTGTAATATAAATAAAACTTTAAAATTGACAATTTTGTTTTTTCTTTTTATTAAAAAAAACACAAAGCGTTGTCTCTGCAACGCCTCTACTTATCACCAAATCAAACTAAGAAAAGGATGCAAAGAAAAAAAACTGCAAAAAAAACTTAGCACTGGTTATGTTGTGGCTTTAAAACTGATTTGTTTTGTTCCCTGCTAAAAGCTTTTGAAAATTTGAAACAGTGCAGTGGTTTATGTTATAACAAACCTTTGGGTTAAGTTGTCGCAAGCAGGTTTTTCTTGTGTTTCTTGTGAATTTGGTCTTAAATTTTTATTTCAAGTGGCATTAAAAAGTCTTAAAAAGTCTTGAATTTAACTTGCCTCATGCTGTAGGAACCCTGTAATACGACTGGTTTGGCTGCTATAAAAGGACCTTCCTTCAGCAGCTCTGCTGGTCAATTGACTTTTGACTAAATGACGATCTTTGCCAAAACTTCATCAGAATATCCTCAAACCTTTTTTCTTTATTTAATCTTCAGGATTTTATGGTTCCTGTTGTTCTCATATGGTAGTTTTGGACCCAAATGTTAAGTGTGTTGAAGTCCTCTCAGATGCTTTGAGTTTTAATGTTTAAAAACTGATTCCTTAACTGTGACATAAAGCCCCTCAGAACCAAGAAGAACCTCCGATCCTACCAAATGTGCCTCTCTGTAATAAATAGCTGCTCTGGCTTTGAGTCGCTCTGCTGTTAGCAGCACAGGGATGCAGGCTTTACATCAGCACGATTTTACCAACCAGCAGGAAGTGCAGCCAGATCCCAGGAGAGCGGCGCTGGCTGTGGCGGCCGCGGCCACAGAGGCGCACCTCTATTCTCCGTCAGTGGAGCAGCTCCAGTAAACGGCGCCGGTTGGCATCAGGCGCCGGACTCAGGCTCACAGAACGTCTCCTGCAAGGTCGATTACCGCCTCTACAGAGCCCAAATTACTGGTTTCACTCTGAAAACTCACCTTAGTTCTGGATATTTTAGGGTCACTTTATGAAAAACAAGCACAGCTCTGGAAAGTTCAACAAGCATTACAGCTTTTCCTAACCGGTGGCTCCAGGCTGCTCTAACAGAACGATAGCAGGCCTGCTTCCAAACTCTGTCAGCCTCAGTCTGCAGGACTCAGTGGATCAGAGGGATGGGTCGCTTTGGGGAGAAAAAGGTTTTATTGGACTGGTTGGATTTAATAAAACAAAGAATGTCAGGAACAGGTGGTTCTGTCTGCGTCTGGACACAAGTAAAACCAGAACAAAGCTTCATCGTCCTCAGCTGTCCGGAGAAAAGCTTCACCTCTCGTCAACTTGACGTGAACCAGGCGTCTAATTTAAACGTGCTGAACAGAACATTAGGGAGAAACCATCAGCAGTTTGATGGGTCAATTATCGGGACTCTGGATAGAATCAGAATTTGTCGGTGATGCTGAATCAGGTGAAAGGAAACACCTGCTGTGTTACCATCTGTCCAGGTTAAAGATTATGGAGGACCGACTCTGCCATATTTAAAAATAAATGCAGAAATAAATAAATGCTCAATAAATAAATAAGCGTATAATTAATTGCCACTAAAAATACAGCAAACAAATAAATGTAAGTAGAAATTATTTTTTTTTTATCTATACATTTAATTTTAATAAAATATTGCAATATTGTAATAATATCGTATTGTGACACGTATCGTATTGCAACACCCATGCCATACGGTAATGCCCTAATCTGAATTAATACTTAATTTAGAAAACTTAAGGTTTTGTCCATTTAGCCCTGAAATCTCTTTTTAATCAGTTTTACTGTTAGGTTTTAATTCAGAGGGTTCTGTTAGATTTCTTGATGTATTAACAGTGACTGGATCAGAACAAGCAGCAGAACTTCACCTGAAGGACCTTTCAGGGAAGTTTTACCTCCTTCAGGATTTCCTAAACCTCTGTGTTTGCATTTGAGCGCGACAGAAGCAGCAGTATTTGTACAAGCAGAACCAGTGATTGGACTCACTCTTAGGTTTCATGTTAATTGCGATGAAGAGCAGGAAAAGCCTTCATCATTTCCTTCACATTCATGCAGCTCTCTGAAACCAAACAAACCGCCGCAGCTCGCCGCCGCTGCAGACTGATTCATTAGATCTCACTGTGCAGGTTGGTTTCCAGAACAGCTGCTTCCTACCTTGTCGGCTACAAACCGGGCTTTGTTCAGAACCTTTGGTCGTCTCTTGCCTTTTTTTCTTGACCCCCAAGAGTCCAGAACAGAACAGAAACACTTGTTGACATATCTCAGCTTTAACTTTTTTTAGAACTGTTTAACTTATCAGCATCTTCATTTGGTGCAAATATGTTTCTATATTCAGAGAAAATCAGCAAAAGTTATATTTCTAAGTTGTTAACTCCAACTTTCTGATAACAAAATAAACAGTTTTTCCAACTTAAATAGTTTAAAATGTCATAGTTTTATTTTACCAACTGTAACAGCGCCATCCTCTGGTCAAAAATCAGGATTTCTTGCTGAATGTCTCAGAGTTCACATTTGGTTTAATTTTGTCGGCGTTCACTGGGATTCTGTTTCTCCTGCAGATTGATGCCATCCACAGGAAGGAGGCCATGAAAGCCATGACTGAAACCTTCTACGCCGCCATATTTGGATACGATGAGGTCAGAAAAACTGACTTTAGCAGCAGATTTCTGTATCCTGAGGAGAAAATTGGATCCTAGTTCTCTGGGTTTCAGCACTGATGAATGAAATGTTTCTGCAGGGAATCCTGTCTGATGACTGCGTCCTGGCTGCAGCTCTGTGGAGGAACCTGTTCAATCGCCAGTGTGAAGACCCCCAGCAGCTGGAGCTCATGGTGGAATACGTTCGCAAACAGGTATAATGACCGCATCTTAATGATGGAAACCCTCAACGCTTCTGTTCACAGTTTGTGTAACCCGTAGCTTTATGTTTGATACATACCAATTTATTTCTAGAGCACTTTGAAAACATCTTAGAAGTACGGAAGAGGATTAGGGCCACTGAAAAAAAAAAAGTAAACTGATTTTTAAATTTTATTTCAGTTTAACATGGGAAAAAAGTCAGAATTCTGAGAAAAAAGTCAGAATTCTGAGAATAAAGACAGAATTCTGAGAATAAAGTCAGAATTCTGAGATTAAAGTCAGAATTCTGAGAAAAAAGTCAGAATTCTGACTTTTTTCCCATACTATACTGAAATAAAAAAAATTTTCCAGTGGCCCTAATCCTCTTCCGTATAGAAGCTAACTAAAGTGCGGCACAAAAATAATTAGCACAAAGCAACATATATATATAAATAAATCATGTTATAATAAATCAAATAGGAACCAAAACAGAGGCTGGATCAGAAAAGGCATCATCTTTTTGAAGCGGACGATTTATTACTTTACAGGTAGCTTTTGTATTATTTGATCAGCTGATGAATTCTTTACTATAATATTTCTGTTTTTGCAGATCTAATAGAATTATTATCTTTATTTCTCCAGAATTCTAGACTGTCTAAGTGAGCAGAATAGGGTTTAATATACCTTTTTATACAAGTTGTTCTTTTTCTTACGTAGCTTCAGCAGGTCAGCTGTGTAGCATGGCTTATTGAAGTCCTGGTTGTTTTTTTTATGGAGCTATAAAGTTGGAAATGGTCATTGGAACTATTGGTAATGACTTTTATAACCATCTGAGATGCCAAATCAGCATTAGTCTCTTCATTTAGATCATTCCATGAAGTCACGGCTGTTTTCAGGCTGGTTTAATCTGAATAAACATTAAGTTATCATAGCTTTATGGGTAAACTTTCCCTGCTCTCTTCTTCCCAGATGCAGTTTATTGATGCTTTGGACGGGGAGGATCTTCTGCTCACCGGAGAGGTGAAATGGCGTCCTCTGCTGGAGGAGAACGCTCAGAGCATCCTGAAGGTGGTCAGTCCCACCTACAACGATGCAGGGCTGTGAGACAAAGACCTCATCTCTCTGTTACAATAAAGCACCTCCTGCTTCTTCTCAGCTCACACTTTAAACTTCACCTCAGTTGCTGTAGCTTCTCCTTTTTGCTCCCTTTTTCCTTGAAGCACTTTTCCTCCACCTTTTTGATGATGAAGGTTCAGATGGATGCAGAGATGATCAGGGATTATGATTCAGACACATGGAGGACTCCTCGTGTGTCTATGATCCTGTCAGGTCTGAGAGCAGCTTCTGTATGCAAACACACCTCTTGTTTATATTTCCACTGAACGCCTCTCTGTATTTATAAAGTATTTTTGAATGACTGTTTGTTTCCTCTGCGCTCCTTCACTGTGTTTAAACAACCTGAACCTCTGAGGCTTCTTTCCTCCGTGCTCTCAGACCTGAACAGGAGGCAAAACACAAAGACTCAAATGTCACTGATGGTTTTTAAAAGAAGGTTAATAAAGTTTTCTGTTCAAACTCGTTCAGCTGTGCGTTCTTCTTCTGCTCTGTTACCGATGCTGCTGAATGCTCAGTGGAGAAGCACCGCAGGGATTTTCTCTATTGTAAAAAGCTGATCCTCTGGTTAAACTTTGTCATTCATTGTGACTTAACACTATATAAATTAATATATTTCCTTTTTTTATTAATAAAAACAAGATATTCAAAGTAAAATTAAATATTTCTGAAAAACAGCTTTAAGTTTTGTTTCTGTGTTACTGAAAGTGTTCCAATACAGTTAAAATGATCAGATTGTGGGACAGAAATTTCTGTAATCAATTAATCAGAATATAAGCATTAGTAATTTTTATAGTATATTTTTTATATATATTTTACAAACATTTTTTGGTACAGAATTTAACATCAGATTTATTCAACTGAATATTTGGAAAGAAAAAAAATCATGTGTGTATTAGATGTCTTGGCACACATTTAGTCATGTTTTGGGTACTGGAACCTTAATAAGCTTTTCTGTGATGGATTAGCAAAATGATGCTACCCTGTTTGTAAAAGGGAGGAATTGGTGTTACACAGCTCTGCAAGTTGGCTGCACAATTTTATTAAACTCTAAAGATAATTTCAGAGCTAATTCTTTCATTTTCTGACCTTGTTTACAGGTGTAACTTCCTCCAAGATGAATCACGTGCATAAGGCCTTCATTTTTCTTCTGACATATAATTGGACGCAGGTGTTTCTAGTGATGCCGTGAGAACGTGTTTAACTCATTAACGAAGGGGTCTATAGAAATACATTTTGCAGTCCAGCATCGTCCTTCACCAAGTACAAAAAACAGACTGAACATTGGGTCCTCCTTAGAAACTTGCAGAACCTTTAAAAAATTACATTTTAAAGAAGCAAATTTCACGTTTAAGGATAAGTGTATTTATTCCAATGGGAAATTAAGAAATTAACAAATTTTATGTCACTTATATTAGTAGGAATTATAATTTAAATATCTAAAATGTCGATTTCAGATATGAGGAATGTTATTTTTAACGTGTAAAATGTTCGTTTTGAGTAGAAAGAAATGTATTTCAGGTATTTAAAAACTACATATTCACCTAATAAATGTTAAAATGTGTAAAGATCTCTCTAGTACATTTCTATTTTTTTTTTACATTCAGACATTTCTGCTGGCAAAAAGATAATTTCAAAAATCTATAATTACAGTTCTATTTAGCAGGAATTTAATCTTGACCAGGAAAATCATATTTTAGTGATCTATAAAAGGAACATTGTGGTGAGCACATTTAATAAATTGTCTCATACAGCGCACATAGCAGACATAACTATCAACAAAATCATCAATTTGTGAAGGTAAACAAATTACATGACAGTCCTCTACAGTATTGTGCTGTGATACCAAAGAGATGAGAAAGTGGAACATTCTTTAAATTATTACTGCATTATTTGCTAATATGAAACCTTCTTTTGGGACAAGAACTCTGTTAGACTAGGCTGCCAAGAAGTGGCCAAATGGGAAAGGGTTGTGTAGAAACAGACATTAATTCACAATCAATACCATATGTTAGCACAAGGTCCTATGTATGAAGATGAGAATGTGTGGGTCTGCACATTTTGAACAAAGCTATTTGGGATTAGAATCAGCTCTTCCAAGCCCAAAGCCATGGTTCTTGGACAGAAAAAGCTGGAGTTCCTGCCTCAAATGGAAGAAAAGTATTTTCAGGCCCTGGTCATGAGTGAGGGAAGAATGGAGGAAGGGATTGATGGATGGATTGATGTGGCTGCCTATTAGAATATCTGAGTGTTTGAGTCTGACTATCAAAGACAAACTTCTCTCACTGTCATCAACAAAACATTAAATGATGCAGTCAAGATGTAAACCTATTGGAACACAATTACCCTAATCCTACAGCCTTCCAGTGTTTCATCTGTAAATTATAATTTATTAAGTCAAAAGGTCATTTGATGTAAACAAAAAACACAAAGCAGTTTATTACTATTCACAGTTTTTCTTTGGACGGATTTACACCCCTCTGCTGTATTATCACACAACTTACGTCGTCTCCAAATTCTCTAATGCTGTCAAGAGTTCTCAGTCACCTTGAAATAAATAAAAAAACTAAGAAATTTTACCACAAAAGACTGCACTTTGTGTTCTTCACGCTGAGAATATCCGAGCTACTGTTTACTCAGTGAGATCTCCGTGGGTAAAATTTTAACTTTAAAGCTGGTGTAGATGAATGGAAACATCTTGTCAGTGAAGGTGTGTGTGAAGGTGTGTATGTGTGTGTTAGTGTCCAGATCAGAGAAGGACAGCTTTCCTCTGTCCCAGTCCAAATTCACTCTGATCCTCTGGAGCTTCTTCTGTATAACAATAACTTTGGAAAGAGCTGATGGAGACTCTGCTGAGTATGTACCTAAAAGATACTTCATAGCCAACAGCCCAGACTCAATGTATCCCTTCCTCGGGACAGACTCTGCTAACACACCAACATTCCAGCCTGCACTGTCTCCAACATCAACATCCCAGCTGTGGTTCCCTGAGTTAAAGCCCTCAGAACTCAGGACAGAAAACCAGGCAAACCTCTCTGGATTATCAGGAAGCTTCTGTTCCTCTCCTCTAGTCATACCGGTCAGATCTTCAGACAGTATTAGTTCTGGGTGAGCAGTGTTTGGGTCCAGGATGAGAGGAGTGTAGGACACCATGTTCTTCATGTTGCTCCAGATGTTGAAGGCCAGGTTGCCCAGATGTTTGGCCTGGTCTATCAGAGCTCCTGAGGGCAGCTGTGGATCCTCCAGCAGGGGGCAGCGCTGGACTCTTTCCACTGCAGCCTTGTAGTTGTGCAGGAATGAGACGTCTTCAGCTCTCAGCTCCTCCTCTGTGGCTCTGACTGTGTCTGAAAGAGCTGCTATCTCTCTGCTCAGAGCCTCCATCTTCTCCTTCATCATCCCTCTCTTCTGCTCCTCTTCCTCCCTCAGTGCAGCCAGCCTGGCCTCCTCTTCCTCTGCTAGAAACTGATGAAGCTTCTTAAACTGCTCCTTAATCAGCCTCTCTGTGTGTCGGGCCTGGACCTTCATGTGTTCTGCTGTCTGATCAAACTCCTCCTGAACTTTCTTCCTGACCTCCAGCTTCTCCTTCAAAGCTTCCAGAGTTTCCTGAAGTTTCTTCTTGTGTTGCTGAGCAGCTTCATCGATGGGTCTGAATCTGTGCTCGGTGTGTTTTTCTGAATCTCTGCAGACGAGACACACTGGCTGCTGATGGTCCAGACAGAAGAGTCTGAGTTTCTCAGAGTGCAGACTGCAGAGATCCTCTGAAGCTCTCTGCTCTCTCTGCTGTAAGAAGGTCTCACACAGGTTCTTTAGATTCAGACTAACTGGAGGATCGTCTGTTGAAGATGGTTTCCTACAAACAGGACATGTTTGTCTGTTTTTTACTTTCCAGCAGTTCTTCAGACACTCCTTACAGAAGCTGTGGCTACATGACAGAACAACTGGATCCTTAAAGACGTCCTGACAGACCGGACAGCAGAGATCCTCCTCTAACCTGGAAGCCATTTAGTCTCTGAGTGAAGCTGAAAGCACAGAAGGTCCAGTCAGTCATGGCTCCCCTCCCTCCTCTACTAACTTCCCTCAAAGTGACTCTGAGTGGTGTTCTTGGTCCAACTCACCTTCAGTGTGTGGAGTGTGAGCAGCCTGAAGCAGCAGTGTTGGAGGTTTCCACTTTTCTCTCCTGCAGCTGGACTCACTCAGAGGAAGCTGCTAGTTTGGTCTGAAGGTGAAAGTCTGATCTCTGAGAGGCTCAGTCAGTAAATGTCTTTAGTAAATGATTCCACCTTTCCTAAGAGTTTCTGTTTAGGGACCAAAATCCAGAAACTGTTTCCTGCTTTAGTTCAGGGGAAATGGGCAGAGATAAAAACCTGTTATACCTGCTCTTTAACACATAACTGACATATTTCATTCCAAAGTTATACTGTCAGAAATATTTATCAAAATGTACCATCTCCTCTGAAGACTGAGTAATAAATCGTTCTTAGTAATGCAGCTCTTTCATTCTGACGAAGTCCAATAAACATTAAGGTCTTTCCATTGTTCCTTTCAGCTACTATGATAACAGGTTTTATTTTTGTCTGCACAGATTGGAAGATAAACTCTTCTGCTTTTATTGCCAATGAAACATGACAATTATCAAGAATATTTTACAAAAAAACTATACTACCTTCAAAAGATAACTGTGTTTCACCTTCATGGAGGAAAACTAACAGACAACAGATTTCACATGAGATTAAAACAAGGAAACAAATAAAGTTCAAAGTACATGAAACAATTGGCTGTTAAATGTAGAACTAGGACTCTGATAAAAATAAAACTTATTTTGGGGGCTGTATTCACATAAAAACCACTAGAAACTTTGAAAAAGCTGGTACTCTATAGAGGAATATGGCCCTTATGATTATGACACTTTATCTTGTGACTAACTATATGTGCTCTCTTTTATCCTCTGACATGGGCACTGACTTTTAGCTCGTCTGCCTCTGTGTTTCCTGAACGGGGCTGCCTGTTGAGCTGGTTGACAGTTGCCTTTTGTATCTATGCTTCTTTTTCTATGTCTGCTTCTGTCTCCTCTAAACCCAGTCGGCCTCGGCAGATGGCCGCTCACACTGAGCCTGGTTCTACTGGAGGTTTCTTCCTGTTAAAAGGGAGTTTTTCCTCTCCACTGTCACTACAAGCTTGCTTGGTGTGTGGGATTACTGTAGAGTCAATGAGTCGATGCAATCAGCTGGTTTTCCTGAGATAGAAAACTTTGAACCACTCACACTGTATGATCTGGGTGAATTGTCTCTGTAAAGATGACATGTGTTGTAAATTGGCGCTATAGAAATTATTTCTCATTCTCTCACCAACATGAGTTAAAACTAGAAAATTTCTAAAGAAATTTTGAGGGGGGCCACCTACTGCCCGTCTGGGTAACCGGGCCAATACGGCCCTGGCAAGTGACGTCGGGGCTCCCCAGACCAACTGCTTACGCCTTTGAGGGCTGCTGAGGGAAGGAAAGAGGGCCAAGTCATGGGCAAAGAGAGCTGTGTGCCACTTGTGCTGAAATCTGGGAAATAGACGTGCACAGCATATGATGCACAGGGGTAATATGGGTTGTCCATATTGAACCGCAGTGGGTAAAGCGCAGTTGGCGGGCTCTGCCCGCCTGCTAGGAGCCCTTGCAGCGATGAAAAAAATCACCAATGGCGGGCTCCGCCCACCTGCTATGAGCCATTCCACTGATGAAATCACCATTGGCGGGCTTCGCCCGCCTTCTAAGAGCCATTGCAGTGATGAAATCACCAATGGCGGGCTCCGCCCGCATGCTCAGAGCCATTGCAGTGATGAAATTACAAATGGCTATGAGCAATATGCCACAATGTATGAGTGTGTATAAGGAAGAGGCTTTTATTCTGTAGAGTCCCTGTAGTGTTATTTTGAAAGTCTATCATGGATGTGCATCAAAAGATGGGTCATGCCCAGCAGTGATATAGAATCCATTTCCAAATGTTAAATCACTGATTTTCCATGTTATTAGGTGAATAGCTGCTGTATTACAGAGTAAATGGGAGACTTTTATTGTGAAATTTGCTCTGGGGTGTGTTTTGAAAAGGTCACTAGAGTCTAATAAAAACAACCTGGAAGAGTTTGGTTGATAATGTTGAGCCATTTGCATCAATTATTGCATTAGTATAATCTAGAGGCTTTTATTTTGTAGGGTCCCTGGAGTCTTATTTTGAAAGTCCAACAGAGTTGTGTTTAGAGAAAATGTTCAGACCCAGCAATGATAGTTGATGACTTTCCAATCGTCAAATGACTCTTTTTTTCCATGTTATTAGGGCAGTAGATGAAGAGGAAATGGGAGGCTTTTATTTTGAAATTTGCCATAGGGTGTGTTTAAAACAGTTTCCTAGAGTCTATTCTCTAAAATGGGGTTGAGTTTGGGTCATAATGTTGAGCCATATAGGGCAATAAATATATGTAAAAAATATAGAGGCTTTTATTTTGTAGGGTCCCTGGAGTCTTATTTTGAAAGTCTATCAGTGTTGAGTGGCAAGGGAAGTGTCATGGACAGCAGTCATATAGTATCCATTTCCCAATGTTAAATCAGTGCTTTCACCCTCCATTAGATTAATATGTGCTGTTTAAAACAGCAGAGGTAAAATCTCTTTGAAGCCTGGTTACCTTGACAACGCTTAACGAGCCTGTCAGTGACAGAGAGAAAAGCGCAGCACTATCGTTCCTTAGCTCTCAGGCTTTTTTGAATGGGAGGAACAGCTGCTGAACAAACGACTGCTGAGCAAAAACCGTAATAGGTATTAGAAAAATTCTTTCAGTGAAAGAAACATCTATCCTTTGTCTCAGACTGGGGTAACCTTCATGTCTGTAGCTCTTTCACAACCCAAAACGAAGCACAAACAAAATGGCTGATCCCACCTGCTCCTCCCTTTGTTTAAACTGCAGCACCACACTCTGTCACCTTTAAGCTGCTATAGCACCCCTCCGAACAAACAACTGCTGAGTAAAAACCGTAAAAGGTATCTGAAAATTTTTTTTTATCTAAGCTAAAGCTATATCTTGTCTTCAATTGGAGTAACTTTCATGGCTGTAGGTCATCTACAACCTGAATGGGAAGAGAAAGAATAAGAAAAAACGGGTCCTCAGTCCTTAGCTTCTAACTGAGCTAGCTGCAGCAACACACTCTCACTCACCTTTAAGCTGCTAAAGCCCCCCTCCGAACAAAGGACTGCTGAGTAAAAACCATAAATGATATCTGAAAAATTATTTTTATCTAAGCTACAGCTATATCTTTACTTCAATTAGAGTAACCTTCATGTCTGTAGGTCTTTCACAACCCAAAACGAAGCACAAACAAAATGGCTGATCCCACCTGCTCCTCCCTTTGTTTAAACTGCAGCACCACACTCTGTCACCTTTAAGCTGCTATAGCACCCCTCCGAACAAACGACTGCTGAGCAAAAACCGTAAAAGGTATTAGAAAAATTCTTTCAGTGAAAGAAACATCTATCCTTTGTCTCAGACTGGGGTAACCTTCATGTCTGTAGGTCTTTCACAACCCAAAACGAAGCACAAACAAAATGGCTGATCCCACCTGCTCCTCCCTTTGTTTAAACTGCAGCACCACACTCTGTCATCTTTAAGCTGCTATAGCACCCCTCCGAACAAACGACTGCTGAGTAAAAACCGTAAAAGGTATCTGAAAAATTATTTTTATCTAAGCTAAAGCTATATCTTGTCTTCAATTGGAGTAACTTTCATGGCTGTAGGTCATCTACAACCTGAATGGGAAGAGAAAGAATAAGAAAAACGGGTCCTCAGTCCTTAGCTTCTAACTGAGCTAGCTGCAGCAACACACTTTCACTCACCTTTAAGCTGCTAAAGCCCCCCTCCGAACAAATGACTGCTGAGTAAAAACCATAAATGATATCTGAAAAATTATTTTTATCTAAGCTACAGCTATATCTTTACTTCAATTAGAGTAACTTTCATGGCTGTAGGTCATCTACAACCTGAATGGGAAGAGAAAGAAAAAAAAAAACGTTTCCTCACACCTGAGCTTCTAATTGAGCTAGCTGCAGCAGGACACTGTCACCCAGCTTTCTGGTGCTTAAAATGTCCTCCGAACAAACGACTGCTGAGCAAAAACCGTATGAGTTATTCAAAAAATTCTTTCACCGTGAGCGTCAGCCATCCTTCGACTCCAACTATGCCAACTTTGGTGTATGTGTGTCTTTCAGAACAATATTTATGACGAGTTTAAAACACATAATGTCATTCGTTTTTCTCCCCTCTGCTGTTCCAAAACCAATGAAAAACGGCTCTGATTTTCATCGACTTGAGGTCGGTCTGGAGGGTTTTTAAGGAAAAGTATTAATCCTACCGTAATTCCGAAGACATTGTGTGGGTCCAGAGATTTCAGTCTACAAACTGACCAAAAATGGTGACTCTAGCTATAAATATGTGGCCGTGAGGGCGAGTTTAAAATGTTTTTGGGTCTTAAAAAAATGGCTGCCTCACACTCTAGCTTTTCAGTCTCTCCACTCTAGAAGGCTGGATTTTGCCAAAACTTTGTGGCGCTTGAGGTCTGATTATACAAAAACCGTAGCAGTTATCAACATGCCGTCTTCAGTTTTATGCAGACGAAGGATTTATCTACAAACTGAGCTTTAAACTGTTTTTCTACGTGAATGTATGCCAACACAGTGAAGCGCTGTTTTTTATGCTGTTTTTTTCCTCTCCCCATTCATTTCCTATGGGAATTTTTTGCGACGTTTTCGCTAATAATTCGCAAACCTTCGGACTAATGAGAAAGTTTTATACAAGCACGCATCGCCCCATTGGTCTCTACGCGTGTGCCAACTTTGGGCCCGATCCGACGAATGGTGCGTGACTAGTTACGCGCCGAAGTTTTTGGTGGCGAGGAGAACTATAAGCTATAACTAGAAAATTTCTAAAGAAATTTTGAGGGGGGCCACCTACTGCCCGTCTGGGTAACTGGGCCAATACGGCCCTGGCAAGTGACATTGGGGCTCCCCAGACCAACTGCTTACGCCTTTGAGGGCTGCTGAGGGAAGGAAAGAGGGCTAGGTCATGGGCAAAGAGAGCTGTGTGCCACTTGTGCTGAAATCTGGGAAATAGACGTGCACAGCATATGATGCACAAGGGTAATATGGGTTGTCCATATTGAACCGCAGTGGGTAAAGCGCAGTTGGCGGGCTCCGCCCGCCTGCTAGGAGCCCTTGCAGCGATGAAAAAAATCACCAATGGCGGGCTCTGCCCGCCTGCTAAGAGCCATTGCAGTGATGAAATCACCAATGGCGGGCTTCGCCCGCCTTCTAAGAGCCATTGCAGTGATGAAATCACCAATGGCTATGAGCAATATGCCAGAATGTATGAGTGTGTATAAGGAAGAGGCTTTTATTCTGTAGAGTCCCTGTAGTGTTATTTTGAAAGTCTATCATGGATGTGCATCAAAAGATGGGTCATGCCCAGCAGTGATATAGAATCCATTTCCAAATGTTAAATCACTGGTTTTCCAT